CTTCAAACTTCGTCAGAACATAGGTATTAATGAGCTATTTCTATCCATATAACTTTCAGTTCGATCAGATTTTTAYTTTAGRAGAAACGGACCATTTTCGATTTTGCGGCTTCCGGACTCGTTTCACAAGGTTCATACCATGGGTAACATTGAGCTCAATAACTCAGCCGCATAAATATTTTAAAMAATACACGTCTCAGCTCTAAAAGAAGAGATAAGACTCTATCGTTTGGTTGTTAAATTTTTCAAATAAAATCTTTTTTTAATTATTTTAGCGATTTTTCAAAAAATGCTTAATTTGACGAAGTTCGAACAGTAAAAAATAGCCTAAATTCATCGGCAAAAAWAARCAATTGGACATCTGCTCTGGCCRAAATCAAAACATACATGAGAAAGAACATTGCTTCCTCTGTGAATTTCAGCAATAAAATTTTTGGGCTACTCAAAAGTAAAGAAAATAAATCGTCGAATGTTCAGTAAACTTCGGGTCAAAACGCCACTTCGTCAACAAGCATCGCGCGTGACATTAATATATCAAACAGCCTTAAACATTCATCCTATGGCCTTATTTTGCCGTAAMCAAASGTGATACCTAACTTCAAGGGGAAATATTTGAGTATTTGTTTGATTTACCTGGAAATATTGCAGGATTTACTGGTATTGTGACAGTTCAAGCATGCTTCGTAACCCGGTGTCAAAGTCAACATCGCCACTGTGTTGCCATTGTTTGATTGATTTTGTCTTCCCGAAATCTACAAATTAGCAGAATCCATCATCTATCGACTTATGCAACTAACACAAGAGTTTCTTGTTCATCATGGGCACTTTTGAAGGAATTTTCACATTTTAGTGTCATGTCAAATCGTGACATTTGTTGTTATTGTTGCAAAGCGTGACGAAMTGCACACAGGAACCCCAATTCCAAGTTGTTGTTTTTTACAGGGAAAATATCCGTATTTATGACTAAAATTGTGTAATTTTTTTCGCAAGCATTTGAAAATAAATTTCTTTTATTGTAAGTTGTCAAATCATTCTATTATAAGTTATCATAGTTATGGTAACTGTCCACATTTTGAGGATTGTGTGACGAACTGATTGCAACACCACTTATTTCGAAACTGTTTGCGTATGTCCAGTTATTAAAACCTGAAGAAACTGGTTAAAACGACAATTTACTGGTTGCATATCTAGTAAAAAGCCGTGCCCTTGTCATTTGCAATGTGGCATGGCGTCGTGCAACTACTCTTCGTACGTTGATGGTTCGTGTGGTAATAGTTTATACAATCCTGCAAACTCTGTATGTGTGTTGCTAAGAGACTGCGACAAGGACATAAAAACTCATCTAAAGAGCTTCAAGTGCTTTGATTCAGTTTTAAGGAACGAAAAAGATCTACTTTTGGCAAGAGCAGGTTAGTATACTTCACTGATTAAGAAAACACTTTAGTCCGTCCAAACATTGTTTTTGCTGCTTTTTGTCAGCAACTATATCAGTGTGGTTATGAAGCTAATTATCCAGCAAAACCAGAGCATAGTGGCCAATATAGAGATTTTTTTTAACCCTGACATTTTACCGTTCAGTTTAACCTCTTGCGCAATATAACTAAATGTCATACTTCGATCAGTGGTATCTTTGGATAGGATAGGAAATGGGAAAGTACAAAATTATCTAAAATCAATACTAGTAGTTCACTATATGTGGCGTGTTGCCTGCAAAAATTTTGATTTTGACATGCTTGATACTTTAAAGAGTTTTATCAAATTTGATTGCATTGACATATTGATCTGAAAAGAGGGAAAAGTTGAATGAAATAATGTGTGGCTTTATTTTGTTTGTAGGCATTTTTCAAGCTGACGAAGAATCTGACAAAATCTCGATATGTCCAAGGCATCGAGATATGTTTGGAATAAGGTGGCGCTCCAGCACAAGAACATGTTGTACATCACCTCCTCTTTGGGCGCCTCATGGTGTACAGAAAAGGAAAGGAGACCGTGGCATTACATCAGCTCAATCTCAACTAATTTATAACTCAACAGCAGTTCTTGTTCCAGTGGCATCMCGTAAGATATGCTATACTCGATAAATCGTATACATTTATTGTTATTTATGACAGGTGAAGATAGCGACGATTTGTGCGAACGACTGAAAACCCTAGATATTACTTCTGAACAAAGCATTTACCAAACAGAAAGCTCTGGCAGTAGTAATGGTACCGATGAAAGCAAACGTCCTGAATCTAATTTAGCAGCACGCCGTCAAAAGTTGAACGAATTCCTTTCCTTGAGTGGTAAAGATCCTGTTAAGCAGTCCAAAAAGACATGGGAATACTCGAGCGCACGAACAAAAAGAGATCGTATCACTAAAGCGAAAGATGCTGTTGTATCATCCCTAAGTGTAATTGCTCCCGACGACCCAGGATCCCTTTGGATAGGATTAAAAGATTCACAGTATATTGAACGGTCTCTAGGCCTGGAGTCGAGGGAAGAAGACAAAAAGTATCTCAGCGCTTTAGCAGAAACCTACGAGAACGCCGTAAGCTGGGACACTCGACGCCAGATACTATCAATTATGGCAGATCTCGTACCATCCACTATCATTGAGCGATAYATTCCTGGAATTTCAGAATATCGTATCAAAGCTGCAAGAAAACATCAGGCATGTTATGGGCGTGGTGTACCAGTTGAAGTTAAAAAGAGTCCTAGAATGCGAGTTGATGATTTAMAGCTTGATCACTTTTTATCATTTATTACAAGTCCTCACGTTATCCAAGATCTCCCCTTTGGTCAGCGCTATTTACAACTAAGTAACGGCAAAGTCCTGGATACACCTAACGTTATCAGATCAATGATACCCCAACGGATAGTAGCTCAGTATCGCCAGTTTTGYTCAGAGAATAACTTTACTCCATTTAGMGAGTCCACAATGCTTCGCATACTATCGTCTTGCTCGGCTTCGCTACGAAAATCGCTKCAAGGCCTAGACTACTTCACTGCCGATGGGACAAAAGCCATTGACGACTTGGTTACTATAGTCGAATCTATTGGAAATCATGGTGAAAAGAACAGGCAGTGGGTACAAAATTGTGAGAAGTCGCTGAAAAAAGGAAGACAATATCTGAAATCAGACTTCAAGGTATGTGGATCATTTATTCGTTTGTCTATTCATTCATCAATTTGTTCTCTATTCAATTATGTATTCTTACTTCATTCCTTCATCCACTTTTTTTTTTTTTTTTTTTTTTTTTGCTCATTCATTTTATTTCATTCGGTTAATCGTTTTTTCATTCATTTTTCTCATTTCTTCTAATATTATCAGCAGGAGCTACATAACTGCAAGTTTTGGTAACTCGTTTAATTTGTATGATTTTCTAAATTTTAGATACATGTGACTGACAATGCCAATGTTCCAGACCATTGTATAGTGTACGCCCTAAGTGATCCCAACGATGAGAAGCTAGTTAGTAAGTGTGCAGATCACAGTCATCAGGATATCTGTCCATCGTGCGAGGATATGAAGTTGACACTACAAGATATCAAGCTCTCAATTGAAACTGCTCAACTTACCGATGAAGAACGAGATAATCTGACCTACCAATACCGACAAGCTGTGCAGGCAATAGATGCGTGGAAAGCACACCAGCTGCGAACAACACAGCAAGATAAAGCACGGACCGAGCTGTTGGATGACTTAGACGAATCATCGGTATTGGTTGCATTAGACTGGGCCATGAAATTCCTCCCTCAGAGATACCGAGAGACCCAAGCTGATTGGTTTGCTAAGCGAGGAATTTCATGGCATATCAGCGTCGTAGTTCGAAAGATCAAAGACAAGCTACAACATCAAGCATTTGTACATATCGCTGAAAACTGCAGCCAAGAAACTGATGACGTCTTGGTCATCGTTGAACATCTTCTCCTTGCCTTAAAAAAAGACCACCCAGAAATCCAGAACGCCTTTCTACGAGCAGACAACGCTGGCTGTTACCACAGTGTTGCAATGTTGTCAGCCTGCAAACTGATGGAATCAACTGGAATCAACATAAGACGAGTGGATTTCAGCGACCCGCAGGGCGGGAAAGGTCCCTGTGATCGCAAAGCTGCGACGATTAAAGCACACGTTCGTCGGTATATCAATGAAGGCAATGACGTGCTGACGCCAAAACAATTCAAAGACGCAATGGTCTCCTATGGTGGTATTAATGGTGTAAGGGTGGCATTGGTGAACCTTAAAGAGGAGCACAGCACCGCACCGGAAGGAAAGATTGATGGCGTCAGTGGCCTAAACAACTATGCCTACGAAAAGAGGGGCTTGGTCACTTGGAAATCCTACAACATCGGCCAAGGAAAAGTAATACCCTGGACAAGTTTAAAAGGTACGTTTTTAGATGTGCAATAACCAAAACTTTTCATTGTATGCAAGGCTAATAAACAAATTCATGGTTTGCAGTTTTGAACATTTTATGACGTCAAGAGTGTGTAAATACCACAAAAAAGTGCGTAATTTGTTTTTGACCACAATTTGAGGCTAATAAAAATGAGCGATATATTTCAACTGAGAGCGCGCGCGAGAAGTAATGGTGCTAGCACAGTGTCCTATTATTGACTCAACTTTATCAGCCAATCAGGGCGCGGGAATTTACACAAGTTTGTTAAAAGTACAATCAGAGATAAAACCCAACAGTATATAAAATCTTTACTCATCTGATTATTATCTCTTTCAGTTCGTAGCTGCTTGACCAAAGGATTTCTATCCGATTCCAATTTTACTGACGGTGATTTTGTCGATGTGAACTTTTCATCCTCTAAAAAACTGTCATTGCAAGAGCCCAAAGAAAGTGACATAGAGAACGTTGAAGAAATCCAAGAAGAAAGTCTCTCTGATAGCCAACTGTACGCCTGTCCCATGGATGGTTGTGTATGTACTTTCCAGCGCTATTCCAATATGGAGAATCACGTCCTTTATGGGAAGTGTACTTTATTGATAGAAAGACACACCCTCTTAGATAAAGCCAAGATCCTTTATCAGGAAAAGCTAACAGAAGGCACCAGCAAACAGCCCACTTTGCATGGAGAATCTTCCACCCAAGCAAGTGCATGCACAGAGCATCTACAACAAGAATGGGCGTTAAGGCATTCTAAGAAGAAGGGACGTTTCAATGAAAGCCAACTGCAGTACCTAGATGACAAATTCAAAATCGGACAGCAGACTGGACACAAAGCTGATCCTGAACAAGTGTCAGTTGATATGAGGTATGCCAAAAATGATGACGGTACCAGGAGGTTTAACGTCGATGAATATTTGTCTGCACAACAGATCAAGTCCTACTTCTCTAGAACATCATCAAAGCTCAGAAGAGTAGACGAGATGGATTTGCAAGCCATCACAGAACAAGAAGCATACTCCAACACTCGTCAGTCCGTCATACAAGAATGCCGAGTTACCCACCCTATTATGTACGATACTCATAATATCTGTGAACTGTATCTCACCAACAAGCTCCGTAAGAAATTCAGCATAGCCATGCTCCATGTAGTGTGTGAGTACTTTAGAATTGACGTGGAACACCTCAAAGGATCGAGATTGAAGACACCTTATCTCAAATTAATCACTGAACTTGTTGATTCATGTCCTTGCAGCATTGACACTAGAGTATAAGGACCACGGTACGATCTAATATGAATGATGTTACTAAAATAGACAATGTGCAGCGAAGTCATTTCCTTTAACAAAGCATGATGGGAAAAGTATGAAATATTTCGCATATTTTGTGTTTTCTTTACACATACAATTGAAAACAATTCTCGGGAGATTACTTTATTTTAGTTTGTTCTTGGATACGGTGTTACTGCGCATTGACTATGACGACTTTTTTGTATTGCTGACATCCCTTGGATGATGTTCGCTGTGGTCAGATAACATTTATTTTGAAATTTTACATGGCAAAGCCGTAAAAGCTTGATGAATGTTATTCTAACGGAAGAAAGGACCATTCGCTCATACATCTTAAGGTTGTTTAAAAACTTAGTTGAATTTAGTTAATATCTAAATAAAATCATTGATGTTAGGTAATAAAACAATTGTTATTATCATGGAGTTGGGGTTCCTGTGTGCATTTCGTCACGCTTTGCAACAATAACAACAAATGTCACGATTTGACATGACACTAAAATGTGAAAATTCCTTCAAAAGTGCCCATGRTGAACAMGAAACTCTTGTGTTAGTTGCMTAAGYCGATAGATGATGGATTCTGMTARTTTGTAGATTTCGGGAAGACAAAATYGATCAAACAATGGCAACACAGTGGCGATGTTGACTTTGACACCGGGTTACGAAGCATGCTTGAACTGTCACAATACCAGTAAATCCTGCAATATTTCCAGGTAAATCAAACAAATACTCAAATATTTCCCCTTGAAGTTAGGTATCACSTTTGKTTACGGCAAAATAAGGCCATAGGATGAATGTTTAAGGCTGTTTGATATATTAATGTCACGCGCGATGCTTGTTGACGAAGTGGCGTTTTGACCCGAAGTTCACTGAACATTCGACGATTTATTTTCTTTACTTTTGAGTAGCCCAAAAATTGTATTGCTGAAATTCACAGAGGAAGCAATGTTCTTTCTCATGTATGTTTTGATTTYGGCCAGAGCAGATGTCCAATTGYTTWTTTTTGCCGATGAATTTAGGCTATTTTTTACTGTTCGAACTTCGTCAAATTAAGCATTTTTTGAAAAATCGCTAAAATAATTAAAAAAAGATTTTATTTGAAAAATTTAACAACCAAACGATAGAGTCTTATCTCTTCTTTTAGAGCTGAGACGTGTATTKTTTAAAATATTTATGCGGCTGAGTTATTGAGCTCAATGTTACCCATGGTATGAACCTTGTGAAACGAGTCCGGAAGCCGCAAAATCGAAAATGGTCCGTTTCTYCTAAARTAAAAATCTGATCGAACTGAAAGTTATATGGATAGAAATAGCTCATTAATACCTATGTTCTGACGAAGTTTGAAGAATTTCGATTTTGCGATCTTGCACACCGTTGGTCGATATTTACAGACGGCCGCTCTTAATAGGTTTTCGGATAGGCGGATCTGGGCCTAAAATGACACGCGGATTACAGATTTAAAGAAAAAATAGAGCGGATTGCCGGATTCTTAAAACGTACCGGATCACAGATTTATTGAAAATTTAACGTCGGATTTCGGATTCTATAATGTCGATAATCGTGACCGCGAATTTTGCCGATTGTTTACTACAAAAAAAAAATAACATAAGAAGTCACTAAGAAGGCCTTATAAACGGGCGAAACGAGACTACAAGCCCGGGGGCCGGGACTACAGGCTCTGCGCTGTGTGGAAACGTCTTCTCTGAGCTTATTATGGCAAATATGGCATCAGCGGGTCTTGAATTAGCAGGAATTTATGAATTTTTTTATTATCGATTGCTATCATGATTTGGGATTCGGATTAAAGCAAAACTTTCGCGGATCAGCGGATTCGGAGACCCCTATTCATCCCCCCCTGTAAGTATCCAAAATCATTGAAATGTCATGTAAATTTCATGTATTATTTCCATTAAATTTACATCGTTTGTAAAAAGTATGTAAATGTCATGTAAATATTATGTTTATGTCCAAAATAACGTAAATATTATTTACATCATTTACATCCTTTTTACATCAAATTTACAGCGCGGTTTTTTCCTTTGAAAGTTATGATTTTGATTGACACTCGTTTTAGACAGCCCGGTCAGAGCCTCGTTGGCTATCAGCTAATGTACGTCGACTCGATTTCGTGGAGTAACTGTTAGATACATGTATATTAAACTATAAATGGATCAATCTTTATGTCATGGCAAACCCAGTTTAACATTGCTCATCAGGGTTGAGTTGTTCGAAGCTCGAGTAGCGCTAATGCTGGGTTAAATCTTAGAAAAAAAAACCTATCGGGAGTTAACCCTGGATTAACTCTAATCAAGCTCATTATCTCATTATCATGGTGGGTGACAAATGGATTTCATACTCCAAAGCTTTAGAGATTTGTATTCCCAAAGGTTTCTTCCTATTTTTACCATAATATGTACGTTGCGGTCGTTGATGAGTCATGCAGTCACCCATGCAGTCTCTTAACAAACCGAAGAACTTACAATATATTTTTTTTCTTTTTTCAGACACGCTAAGGCTTATGGGTGGAAAATTTTCTAACGAGGGACGAATAGAAATATACAAATTTGGTTGGTGGAACAAAATATGTAATTGGTGGGTTTTTTTTAATTACGAAGCTGCAAAGGTGGTGTGTCGATCACTGGGTCTAAGTTTTCCTACTTATTTACTTTATTATGGAGTATTTTATGGGACGTCATATCCAAAGCATTTTGTTGGAGATTTTCGTTGTACAGGAACAGAAAACAGTCTCGAAGAATGTTCAAGTACTGGTGCATCATCAAGATGTCGTTACTACTCAATATTTACAGCTGCTGTGGTATGTGGGAATCCACCAGGTAATTTATAATGCAAAAATTTGTACAAATCCGGTAATCATATAATTGAATCACTCAAGTTTTCCTTGGTAATAGCGTTTCCAATCTAATTAATTATATGATTCTTATTGTATGTTGCTTGTAATCTATATAATATTTTATTATATACACAAACACACAATCTGTCGGATTGTTTCTCAACTGCTAGGCTATTTTATTACCATATACCATTAGTGAGAAAAACGAAATATAAATGTCGAATAGATTGTTGCACTCTTATTAATTAGAATCTATTGTTTAGTCGTCGAGTTTGGGCTACAACGGGTACGTTAGTTTTATCGTTAAAAACATCTTTTTCATTTTAGTTTTTCATGAAAATATCACTGAGATGGCTGGTGTTATCACAAGCCCTGGATATCCATCATTCATGGCGCAAGGCGATTACCGCTGGACTTTCACACAAAATATGACACGTGGTCGTGTTGCTTTATATTTTGAGGAGTTGGATATTGGGCGACATTGGGGGTAAATATTATACTTTTAATGACCATTATATCACTATATCGCATGAAATCCGCCCATCTACAATTATTTTGTTGTGGTCACTAAAGTATTCATGAAAAAATATAAATGAGTATTTTAACCTAAACGGATCCCTTCATAGGTCAAGTAAAGTTTCAATCCAAGAGTCATCATCATTATCGTTCAACAAAGAGTATAYCAACGTTWMTCGTAGTAAGCYTGGGMTGGTGATTRATTTGTCAGRTCAACTTAGATTCTATTCACCCTATACTTCAAATCGTGATTACAGTGGTGGCCGAGGGATGCGAGTTCGGTTTCTTGTTTACAGCGAGCCAGAAGGAGGAGGTAAAATAATAATATCACACCTTATTCGTTAAAACAAGTTTTTATGCTGTGTCRGATCTACGTAAAGCGTGGATTTCACTAGCGCATAAGCATAGGCATAAGCACGAAGCACGAGAGTCATATGCGCCAGTGAGAACGGGCTCAAAATAAGCATAAGCATGAGCACAAGAAAAACGAGCAAGGCTTGATATTCTTGTGCTTATCTCATGCTTATCTCATGGTTATGCTCAGTGAGAACGAAACTGCATAGGCATAAGCATAGCCTGGTACCGAAATATTACGCTCATGCGCATGCTCAATGTCTTATGCTTATGTCGAGCCCGTTCTCACTGGTGCATATGATTCTCATCCTTGTGCTTATGCTATGCTTATGCGCTAGTGAAATCCACGCTTAAATCATCACTGAACCTTTTTTTTTTGCTATCTGTCATTTGTTGTTTATTTTTTAAAATCAAATTTAAAATTAAAATGTTTATTTCTTTAAATTAAATTTCAAATTAGAATGCTTTTTTTTAACGCCGAGAAAAAAAGAAGAGGTCTTTATTTCGGTTACTGTTGTGTAATAAAGCGGCGCCAAAAAGCGCTGCGGAAAATCTACCCGAAATTATAACTTTGAAGTCTCGAGGACTTTTAACAAAGCAAAACAGAAAACTATTTCAAACGATAGACATCGGGATTTGAAATATCGGGGATAAAATAAATGAAAAAAATTAATGAATCACTAAAATAAAAATAGTATAAAAAGAAGATTCTTCGTGAAGCAAAATTGCCTGCAAATATAGGCCATTTGCATGATGGCATAACTTTACTACAACTACCAGAAAGCCTTGCGCATTTTCTTTGTTATTCAGATTTTTAATCCCCTTAGCGATTAGTAAAACAATTGGCACTAAATTGCATTACAAAAGAAAGTGGGCAAAGCATTCTGGTAGTTGTAGTAAATGACGCCATAATGCAAATCGCCTATTCTCGCCATACTTGTGCAGATCAATGAATATGGAGTTAAAAGTAATAGTAATAGTTGTAACACTGCTATCATCATAAAAAAAGAGAGAATGAGGAATCCTAGTTCATTGTCTTGTTGCAGTACATACACATATGAATTGGAAACTATTATTATCAAGCAACCATTATAACAGAATTACTGCTAAATGGACTCAAGTCGTCTTCACAGGCTACGATATCATCGGCTTTGTGATGTCCTGCAATTCTACACAAGATTGGGCAAAGGGAGTATCGTATGCAGTCGGTGAAAGCAATTCAACTTCTTTAACCTGTAGTGAACTGATTGGATTCACCCACTATAATGTACGTGTATTGGTACTGCTAAGAATACGAGGGAAAGACAACTATAAGATGTACCAGAGTTTAAAGACGTCTTTAACAACTCTACAGTCAGGTAAGCATCTTTTCTGTTTTGATTTATCATTGTTACGTATTAATTGCTAGCCATTATATGGCCTGAAATTTGTCGGACTTGGACCTTAAAGGAGTTTCTAAACTTCATATTGTAGGACGTCAAAATAATTTCAACTTTTACCCCTCCTTTGACACACATAAAACACAATGTTTGAGGAAAACTAGTTTCGTCTATTATTTTGACGTCCTACAATATGAAACATTATATGGCCGTCTTCTACTTTTGTAACCGAGACAGGAATGCCTTTGAAAATGATGTATGGTAATTAAGCACTTTATTCTCCCCCCCCCCCCCCTCCCCCTCTCCCCCTCCCCATGAAAGAGAATCCAGAAAACTAGAGAATTCCTTATTCCAAACGCTGAATTCCGGATTCCGAAACATTGGATTCCGGATTCCAATGCTTGACATTCCGGATTCCAAAGAATTTGGAATTTGTTTTTGGACTCCGGATAATAAATGGCATTTTTTGGATTTCGAAATATTTGGATGCCGGGTTCCAAAGCTGTTTTACTGGATTCCGGATTCTCTTCAGTACATCGGGCGAAAATTCCCTTTCTGGTCCTTCTATCTATTTTTTTTTTTTGGTGCAGTTTTCTTTCCAATTTCAATTTTTTATTCCCCCTCCTTATCCTCAAGCTTTCTTTTTCGCAATCTCTCACTCTAAAGAACCGACTGTATTGCTTAGACGACGAGACTAACAACAACAACAGACGATTTTTGATTAGTTTCCGAGATTTTTTTATTTATTTTTTTCCTGGTGAGCGTGTGTAGTCACAATTGATGTTTGATTGCATGTATTTTACATTTTGTTGGTTCTATTCTCTAGTTCCAAGGTCTGATCCGCCAGGACTTAATCCTACTGAGATCACATCAAATTCAGCAGCTTTTCAATGGCAAAAAATCCCGAGAAAAGATGCCCATGGTGTTCTTCTCGGGTATATAGTAGATCTCTACAGTCGTTACAGTGGCAGATATAGGGGAGAAATAAAAACAAGTAACACGTCTATAGCCTTCAAGGATCTTTCCCCTGCTAACCGATATTTTATGAAAGTTAAAGGCTTCACTGCAGTTGGATCAGGACCAAACAGCTATTACTACTTCTCTACAAGTAAGTTTTTTTTGTATATAAAATGTTTTATGTTTTATTGAATATGTCTAATTTTATTCCACGTTTATTTTTCTCTCAATTGCCCATTAGTATATAGCTATTTCAAAATAGGTTGTCGGATAAAATGACGAATTTCAATGGTCGAACGGCGATTGCACAACCGAAAGTAGTCATGGGTTTTGCTAATTGAAAGGCAATAACAACTGATTTGTACTGTAAGATGGTATGTGGTAAACATTGGCTTCATTTAGTCTCCATTTCTATGTAAGGTGAAACCAATAAGTGAAATGTTCTTTATCAAAACAGTGTAACCAAAGTCCCTTTCGGTCGTGCAATCTACCTTCGCAAATCGCCGTTCGCCGTTCTCTCGGACAACGTTTTTTGAAATAGCTGTATTTAGGTTCGATATTTTGTCGTTTTTAATTAGCTTCCTCCGCAGGGAAACATTTTTGCCCTTTTGGGATTCCTCTGGTATCTTCTTGGCCTAGCAGGGGCCTTGGGGCCCAACCTTTCTGCCGGGTCACAGAAAGACAGGAAACCCAAGAGTAGAAAAAAGAGCGGACGCCTTTGGAGGAAGTTAGCTTTAATATAATTGCGAGCATGTAGTTAACGAGAACTTTAAAGATGTCATATATGATCATGGACAATGTTCCATCAAAATGTGTAAAATAGAATATATTATTAAGGTTACTGCTCCNTTTGGTCAGTCACTTCATCACTTGCTTGATTGCTTGCTTATTTGCTAGATTGATGAATCTGAAGTGGGTATTGATTGGTAAGTAATTTTGGTTGATTGATTGACCAACGAGCTAAAATTGTTGCTTTAGTTACATCTTTCAAATCATGGAATATTTCATCTTCCACCAACAACTCAACATCAATCAATGTCAACTGGGAAAAATATCCAGGAGTCAAAAGCGTTAGCAGCTACGTTGTTATTTGTACTGCTAATAACCGTCATAGGAACATTTCTGCATCATCAACCAATGGACGAAATCTTAGTTTGGTGGTAAACAACTTGTTGAAATACACAGAATACAAAGTTGTGGTCCTGGCAATGCTTACAAATTCATCCTATAACCTCACAAACTTCAATAAGACGATATTTAAGAGCCAAGAAGTTATGGTCAAAACTTCTGAAGATGGTAAGATTAGTGATTCACGGCTCCATTKTTTTTTAGTTCAACCACGAGCTATAATAGACATAGTGTAAAAAAGTTAAATTTATAATATACATAGTGCACTTAGGTATAAAAACGTTATGTTTTACAATAAAAAAACAGGGTTTTCTTAATTATTCAAAATCTGTTAATTACATTTCATGACGCATTCTTCAATCCTGGCGAGCATGAGCAATATCTCTAGTGCCCTTCTGTTCATATATTATTAAGTTTTAACTTAATAATAATAATAATAATAATAATAATAATAAT